GNTGGCGTTCCAGTAGTATTCCTGATCTCTACATTTTCAGTTCTGAGACTGCACGAGCAAGAAAAATGTAAACAAAGAAGACGTTCTGCTCGTATGAATAAAAAGTCAGCCTGTGTATAAAGTAGTCCTGTGTTTGTGCTTCGTCGGCTGTTTCCAGCTGTTTCGAGCGATTATGAAGCAGGAGATCGCTACTAGAACAAAGGAAAATATTTTAGAAGCGGCAGCTGTGCTTGACATGCTCTATCGTAACGCGTATATGATTCTTAGGCCAAAAAAGTACGCAGAGGCGTCGTTATGTTGTGATTGTGTTTCTGAAACACTGATAGAAACAGAGTTATAATTGAGAGTACAGAATGTAATAACAAATTGCATTGTTCGTATAAAGGTATTTTAGAACTAAATATACCAACACATTTGAGCCACGGGTGAGCTGTTTTCACGTCTAAAACACACAGCTCTTAACGTCAAGTACAGATTGACGGAATTTAAAATTTCCTTACTCGTACGTATATCAGAACATCTCGAAACTTCAGGATTTAAATGCTTGGTCTGTTAATAACAAACAAAAACAAAGAGACAGACTACGTGGCCTCTGTTCCGCAAGCGAACTATACCGACCGCCGCAAATAACTCCTCAGTTATCTTCACGAGACTGAGTGGACCCTGTTCCAGACCCCCTACTTATCAGAAAATCTAGTAGCGTCGGGAATCGAACCCGGGACCGCTGGGTCTGTAGCCAGGAACTCTTGACAACTAGACCACAGAAACGGCATTTGTCTACTAGTTATCAGTTATTTCGGTTCTAGAATTAAAATTGCTGTGTAAATTTTCGCTTTAAATAATTTGTCATAAGTTCTTAAAGTACACAAAGCTGTGACTTGATCTGTTTTTATATATGGAACTGCAGCTTGGCCTCCAACAGGAGGACAAAGAATTATATATAATCAGAAGCATCTTGATTTGCAGTGAAATGAAGGATTAGACATAAGGATTATGTATCGGCATGCATACATTCGAACCATTTTAGGGCACAGAACCATCTTATTTTTAATTTTTCTCTTTCAATAAAACCGACATGGCGCCCGCGGGACCGGAGAGCCGTTTAACCCTTTAAAGCCCAGCGATTACTGTAAGTACCACTTGCTTTAATATACTAGAACTCTGCGTTCCTCTCGCAGAGCGTATTTATGTTTCTCCCTAAACAGCATCAGTCGGCTGGGTTTTACACCGGAGGCGTAATGTGTTTCCTATGAGGTAGGAACTGAATTTTTATATATAATTTAGAAGAAACTCAGTCTTTATAGAGGGCTAATGTAGATATTAAGTATTAGCAGGATCTTTCTCTGACATGGGCGCTACCACTTCAGAAATTTACAACGTTGGTGTATAAGTGAAGGGACCGCCTCTATGGTCTAGTGGTAAGAGTTCCTGCCTACAGATCTAGAGGTCCCGGGTTCGATTCTCTGCGCTACCATATTTTCTGTGAAGTAGTGGGTCTGGAATGGGGTTCACTCATTCTCATGAGGATAATTGAGGAGCTGTTTCAAGGAAATAGCTGCTCCGGTCTAGAAAACAGAGATTAACGGCCTTGGGAATCCGTTGTGTAGACCACGTGACACCATCTATCCGCAAAAATTGGCACTACTCCGACAAGCGGCGGTCGCTCGGTCGGTATAGTTCGCTTGCGGACTAAAACCAGAGTTTTTTTTATAGTGTAGCGCACATGCACACAAAATGTGCCGTAGCTTATTATTTTTCCAGTGCATTACTAGTAGATTCTAAAGGGCTCTGACGATGGACGAAGTCCGTAACCCCAGTATTTCTGACTGCATTACTAATTTTGAATGCCTAGATTTATTTGGCCGGTCACGGTAGCCGAGCGGTCTAAGGCATGTACTGGTCTTCGCTCGCTCGGTAGCCAGGATCGTGGGTTCGAATCCCACACAAGGCATGGATGTTTCATGTGTGTATGCGATTATTCTGTACTTGTGTTGTCATGTGTTTATTTTTTCTACTGCTACTGGGGTGGGACTAAGTCCCTTGTACTGCGGCCAATTCTGGCCTATTGTACCATCCCCAGATGATAGGTGAGGGTGATTGTGGAGCAGTTGGTGGAATGAAGATTGGCAAGGGAAACCGAAGTACTCTGAGGAAACGTGCCCCAGCACCACTTTGTCCACCACAAATCCCACTTGACCAGACCCGGGATCTAACCCGGGCCGCCGCGATGGGAAGCCAGTGACTAACCGCTTGAGCTATGGCGCGGCCTGTCGTGTGTTTAGGTAGAGCCTTTCCGACGAGCTGATCACCCGTCGAAGGAGGCTATCGTCTGTAAAAATGATCATGAAACTGAAAAATCAGCCCTATGCTCCAAAGTGGGGGCGAAAAGGAGGTGAATAAAGTATTTGTGTCCATGAAAGAAATTTCTTTAGAAATTTTTCTTATTCAAAATTCATAATTTAACTCATATTTTTAATGGTTAATTACATGGAGCACGATTTTCGTTCAGTTGGTCGAGAAATGTCCCGCCTTTAATGGAATCCGAGAATTCTTTTCCATGTTCCCAAAGATCTCCATTGGCCGGTATCCAAAGCTAGTTATATCCATTCCACACTGTCATCCTGTTCGTTCAAGATCCATTTTAATATTATTCTCCCGTCTATGACTGTCTCCAAAGCGGTATCTTCCCTTCAGATTTTCCGACTAAATTTCTCATCTCTCCTATGCATGCTACGTACCTCGCCTATCATCCTTGATTTGCCCATCCTGATAGTATTTGGCAGAAAATACGAATTATGAACCCCCTCAATATGTAATTTTCTGCATCCTTATGTTACTTTAGTCCTAAGCAGCGGTATTCACCTTCACATATTTGAAATTTTACATTTTTTGTCATTTTGAAGACATAAAAGTTGTATGTCACAGTCACATTATGTTCACCCTCATTGTCCTAACCACTGGTGTCTCCCCGTCCTGCACGCACACACGCTCGAGTTATTGCTCGGCTAGAAGCCAGTGGGTTTCGCTACAGATACTGATGAACTTGATGGGCGTCACTGTATGGAAACAGTGGCCTTTGACGTCCATACGTCGTTATACCGGTGAAGCATTGGAGGTGGAAGGAGGATGCCTGTTTTGAAACTTATCTGAAATAGTAAATCATTACAAACTCAGTTCGTTAGAGGCAAGAAGTCGAGTCTTTGTTCAGTTTACAGGAGTCCTACAGCTTGTGCGCTAGACCGTAAAGAAGTGGTGACTTTCCTGTAGACAGTTCAGAAACCGCAGTAATTAAAAATATAAACTTTTAAATTATTAATTGGACTGTAACGGTTCATTTTTCATGTTTCTTTTATGTCCTACCGCTTTGTGATACCGCTAGAGTGCAGGATGTTCTATACAGTTAAGTAAATATTTGTATAAAAGTTAAGAAACTTACTGATTTTCTGAGGCTGTATGTTGTATATAAAAATATCTCAACCTTTTCCAATAAATGATGTTTTTTACTTAAGAATGTCATCTTCTGAGAAGTGGCGCCGTGTAGATCTTGTGTGAACCGATGTTGCTCCGAAACGTCGGTTCACACAAGATCCACACGGCGCCACATCCTATAAGACGGCATAATTAACTTGTCTGGAACGGGGCCCACTCAGCCTCGTGAGGATAATTGAGGCTTTTTCAAGGGAATAGCGGCTCCGGTCTAGAAATCCGAAATTAATGGCCTTGGGGATCCGTTGCGCCGACCACGCGACACCCTCAATCCGCTAAAGTTGACACTAACTTCGACGACAAGCGGCGGTCGCTCGGTCGGTATAGTTCGCTTGCGGACTACAGCCCACGGAGTTTTTATATGCGATACATAAGCTAGTAAGTCATAATAGGCAACATGATGCAACAGTATAGACAGGTGATACTGAGTTCACTGGAAAAAGGAAGCGAATGTTTTCACGCTTGTAAGACGTAAGAAATCGAGATTATAAAAGGCAATACGCATAATGTGAAGATATCGCAGAGTTCAAAGTGGGTGCTTTTGAGGTTTCTGGCATGGAATTATTTTCAGTCGGTGACAGTAAAACACAGTTTTCCTGTGTTTAACCAATTAAGCAGCAGGCCATAAAGAAGTATGGGGGAGTGAATATATAGATCCACGTTTTGTTGACCTCTGTATTAGTTAGAAATGAGTGTTCAGCTTTACGATCCGGCTGCTTAACCCCTGATCCCCATTTGATAGGAGGCTGGGTGGTCCCCAGAACCGGCCTAGACGACGTGTAGAAGAGAAAAATCTTGCCTCTACCGGGACTCAAACTACGACCCCTCGACCGTCAGGCTAGTAGCCAGCCACTATATCGACTGCTCTATTCCGGCTCCCTCGGTGAACTTAACTAATTAGAAATAAAATTTGTATGGGTACATTTTGTTTACTGGCTGATATGACAAGTGGAATTTATCAAGGGAATTCATAAAGGACATTGTGCTTACAACCCTAACGAACGGTGTGCTTGAGGCGAGGCTCAAACCTGCAGCTGGACTAATGATTGTTCCCTCATAACAGGAAGTAACTTAGCCGTTCTTTCAGATTACCTTGTACTGTTGTTTTTTTTTTTTGTTTTCAATTACAGGAGCGAGTGAAACTGAGCTTTGTTGTAAAGAAGGAAACTGTAATGAAGAATGTTTTTGCTTGTGGCACATACGTAGGTGGAAGTGGGAAATGCATATAAAAGTTTATCAAGGAAACTTAAATATATGAATTATTGAATTAATTTGGCCTTAAATATCTTAAGTAAAAGGGCGTAAGGGTATGGACTAATTTATCTGGCTCAGCACAAGATCCAGCGGTGTCCTCTTTTAAATATGGCAACGAGCCTTTGGATTATATAAGAAGGGAAGCATTTTTGACTAGCTGAGTAACTGTTAGCTTCTCGATAAGGGTTCTGTTGCATGGAATTAGAAAAAACGCAACTTGATTGTGTCTTCAACCGCACTGTTTTAACATTTTGTTGCAGATCTATCAGTTGGCTCGAGAGACGGTAGTTCTTTTGCTTGAATGTAACCCAGATATTGGCCCAATGCTCGACTGGGTGGTTGACCGTTGTTACACTGGCACTGCGGAGGTGGCTGACGGCTGCTTCCTTGCTTTGGCAACAATCTTCAGTGCAAGGTAAGCTTCTGCCTCTTATACAGACTTACAACCCTTCAAAGACTGAGTCAGAGTTACTTTACGGCTGGCGGTTTACCGCCAATAAGTTCGTCTTGGCGCCAAGTCGCAGATTTTTTTTTGCAGCTGAACCTTTGCGGTCATAGCCCTTGTGTAACATCCTCTCTGACAGGAGGATGGGTTTGTCTCTTATGAATAGGCTTCGCCTTTGTAAAGTGTGTGTACGAGTATAGCACATATAACATGTTACTGAAAATTCTTTCATTTGCACTATATACAAGTAGTCTGTCAGTCAAGGCTTTGCAAAGCAGATCATGCCTATCCTACTTACCTTAAGCTACAACGTCAGCTTATTCACTTGTAAGTAATATATAAAAATCCAGTTCGTACCTCACAGGAAACACGATACATCTCCTGTACAAAGACCAACCGGATAATGCTGTTTAGGGAAGCAATCACTGTTTACTGTGAGAACCATACGGAACAAATTAATAAACTGTATGGGCAGAATGTGGAGTTTTAGGATGTTGGTGGTACGTATAGTAACCACTGGGCTTTAAAGGGTTAATCAGAAGCGTGTCAAAACCTGATATGACACTACATAACATACGTGCTTGTTACTGCGTTGTTAAATACAAATAAAAAAAAATTCCGTAGCTTTAGTCCGCAAGCGAACTATACCGACCGCCTCTGTGGTCTAGTGGTCAGAGTTCCTGGCTACAGATCAAGAGGTCCATGTTCTATTCCCGGCGCTACCAGATTTTCTGAGAAGTAGTGGGTCTGGAACGGGGTCCACTCAGCTTCGTGAGGATAATTGAGGAGCTATTTCAAGGAAATAGCGGCTCCGGCCTAGAAAACCGAAAATAACGGCTGTGGGGATTCGTTGAGCTGACCACGCGACACCATCTATCCGCTAAAGTTGGCACTAACTTCTCCTACAAGCGGCGGTCGCTCGCTCGGTCGGTCGGTCTGTTAAATACAAATACATCGTAGATCAGTTAAAGAGTTTGAATATGAATCTTAGAAATCCTCTTTCGAGAAAAGGAGTAGGTAACAGCTGGTGATAGCCAGTAGTGGCCGAAACTTGTGAACACAAACTTTTGTATATTCAAGTTAAACTTATTACACTTGACTGACCTTACTACCCATTCAAGTATTAAGATATTCAGTAGCTCAAGTTGTCCCTTGTAAAGATTATGATTGTAAAGTCGACATTTGCGCCCGCGCGCACACACACAGAAGTACAAATGTACGCCCCATGTGCACATAATCAAAACGCTGTTAAGTTGAGAGCAACTGTTCTAACTGAATGTAATTACGGCTAAATCAAGGTCACTGTGTAACAACGTAAACCCTTGCAATTAATTTTATTACAGTCACACGTCACATCAGATAAACAGTGCACTTTACACTCCCAAGGATTCTGGGTACCTCAGTCAATATAGTGATTGGGCTTCGGTTCGGGAGGCCGGGCCTAAGTCCCGAGCTGGGGCAGAGATTTTTCTGATTACCGCATCCAGACCGTATCCTAGCTCCCGGGTTCATTCTCATGGTTAAAGAGGCCGGCGCTTGAAGCAACTGTTCACTTCGCACAGCTTGGATGTTAATGCAGTTACACATCCGAGTCACCACGAACTTCATGACTTGTACTCTTCGCCAAGTATAATTAGCGTGATCAGATCAAGGAGGATGAGATGGACGGGGCATGTAGCACGAACGAGGGAGAATAGGAATTCATATAGGATATTGATGGGAAAGCCAGAAGGAAAGAGACCACTAGGAAGACCAAGACGTAGGTGGGTCGGTCTTTGAGAGATATGATGAGATGGTATGGACTGGATTTATCTGGCTGAGGATGGGGACCAGTGGAGAGCTCTTATGAACACGGCAATGAACCTTCAGGTTCCATAAAATATTGGAAATTCCTGAGTAGCTATGCATTTGGCGGCTTGTCAGGAAGGGCTCGGCTCTTATGGAGTTGGTTATTTCAAGCGTTTTCGTCATGACATAACCGAGCCTGAACCAACGAGTAATTTACGAGTTTTAAAAATAATAGACTTTTCAGTTTTAGGTGCAACTCGACGTCTCATAAAACGGGCGTGTGCTCTTATCTTTTCAGCACCTCACACGTGTATGTGTAAGTTACAGTGTGTTTTTATGGTTAATTTTCAGTTTATTGAAAATAAGCTGGTGTGTGGGCCCCACGTGATAATCAGAGGCGTGTTCTCTACTGCATTCGTAAGTCTGTTCTTAAGTTTGGAAAAAACTTGGAAAACCAGTTATTCTGTCACATCCACTCCATAGAATTCTCTCAAACATCTTTGAAGGTCCGTCGTCCTGAGACAGTAACGTATTCGTTGCGTCGTCGTTAGAAAGTTACTAGGTTCCGTTTTTACATTGGATTGTGTACCGTTGTAATCCACATTACACTTAAGAACTTATCCAGACACCTTCATTTTTTTTTTCATTGGCGCTACAGCCATCATTTGGGCCTAGGCCTACCTCCATGAAACTCTCCGTTTCACTTCGGTTTTACTAGACCTTACACATATGGTAGGACTCCTTGGGCGGGTGATCAGCTCGTCGCAAGGCCTCTACCTGTACACAGACACAGAAAAACGCACACACACACAAACTAAATATCCATGCCCTGAGTGGGATTCGAACCCACGATCCCGGCTTCCAAGCGAGCGAAGACAATGCATGCCTTAGACCACTTGGCTACCGTGGCCGGCACCTTCATATTACAATCCATCCATCCATCAGTAATCTGTCAGACGACAGGTCCACAGTCTCTTCCAAAACAGTTCCTCCACTTAATGTGATCTTCTGTTTTTGGAAAGAGACTATCCAGGAAAAGTGATAATGTGGTAGTTTTTCCATTTGCTTTCCACATCGCAGTACAGCAGCCGTTCAAACCACTCTGGTCACGCCTGTTGCTATACGAACTTGAACCATCTCGAGCATCATTTGCTCTGTGCTTCAAGTCGCTGCTGATGACGCTGCTTCCGGCATCAGTTTTTGGTGTCTCTCTTCGTCTGATGCCTACCCTTTGACCTGTCCAGCAAGGGAGGCCCTGCCAGTAGCTACGCTACCGCTGGTATAGCTCTCAGGGTCCTTGGCATACTCAAACCCCCTCACCACGATAAGGTGGAGACAACCCCCAACGAGGAGTTTAATAGGGTGGTAAACTCCATATTACAATAAGAAATTTAAAAAAACTCCGTGGCCTGTAGTCTCCAAGCGAACTATACCGACCGAGCTTGTCGGTGAAGTTAGTGCCAACTTTAGCGGATGGAGGTTGTCGCTTGGTCGGCGCAACGTAACTCCACGGCCGTTAATCTCGGTTTTCTAGACCGGAGCCGCTATTTCCTCAGTTATCCTCACGAGGCTGAGTGGACCCCTTTCCAGACCCACTACTTCTCAGAAAATCTGTTAGCGCCGGGAATAGAACCTGGACATCCGGACCTGTAGCCAGGAACTATGACCACTAGACAATATAGGCGGTCAGACACCGTCATATTACAAAACGAAAATGTCAGTTGAAGAGCAGAGAAAGCAGAACTGTCTTGCCACCTGTTTTCACGCTGGTTCCTTGCTCGACTTATTCTTCGACCCTGAAGATGGAGGCGATATGCTCCTCCTAAATGTCGGTCGACTTTCAGCGGAATACACGGCGTTATATTCTTCATAAAGACCGATGTGAGAACCTCAACTCCTAGAAAATTGTAGTTGTTTAACTAGTTCAGTTCGGTTGATAACCCGACATATTTCGACGTTAAATATTGTGACATGACGTCTGAAAGGCGAAATAGTGGAGCCATAGTAGACGTTTATTGCTAGGCAATGACTCTGTAAACAGGTTCCCGCGGCAGTGATATGTAAGCAACGATGAAGTGATTGACCTGTAACAATGGAAATTGTGTTTTCTGTTGGATCCGCCCCAAGGCCCCGTGTGGAGGCGGGGTCGAATACCTCCACCGTGACCCTGCGAGTCGTAAGAGGCGACGAAAAGGGAAGTCTCTATTTTGAGACAGTAAAATATGGTCGCGAGTCCCAAGGGACTCGGACCCGAGAAAGACTGCGCTGGCAAGGACTAGCAGCATATTCCGTATTCCGTATTCAATATTGAGGGGGTGGGTTTCCCCATGCACTTAGACCGGTTAGTGGTCCATTGTGCGCCCCCCTTTAATTTCTACTGTCTCCATACCCTACCGGTACTGGTGCTTACTATCAGCCCCTTTCTGCCAGCAAGGTTCCAACCTCCTCTGGCAGTGGTATCTAATAGTTAGTCCCTTTCTGTCAGAGAGGACCCCCCTTCTCTGGCAGTGGTACCCAATACTTCCCCATCTACCGGAGGAATTGGAAACCACTTGGGCGGGAAATGTTGCCTAATTTTGCTCAGAGGTCTCCTAGAGACATGAGGTTCTTTTACATGTCGTAGATCTACGACACGGGACCCACGGCTTAAAGTCCTTCCCGGAGGACTTGTTCCCTGAATTTTTCCGCCCTTAAAAATTCCACGACCTCCGCCGGGTTTTTCAACCCGCGTACTACGAGTCATGAGGTGGGAACGTTACCTCTAGACTACGGAGGCCGCTACCAGCAGCATATACAAAAGACAGACCCGTCCTCTCATCAGAGAGGGCGCCCCACAAAAGTAAGACCGTAACTGTCAAACGGTAATAATTAAAATATCTGGGGCTCGACACCAAGACTTACTGACTGACTGACCGACCGTCAGTCGCAATGCGACTTTGACTTGAATTGACAGTTCAGTTGAAAATTCAGCCGTAGTTCAGTTGTCAGTTGAAAGTTAGCGTGTGAAGAGAAGTCTTAGTGATTTTAAGAGGGTAATTAGCGATAGCGTTATTATTTATTGTGATTGCAAGTGATTATACAAGGAGTTATCACTAAATTCAATTTCCAGTTCAAACCCCGTCTTCTAAGTCACACATACACGTGACACTATCAAAAACATAAAGAGACGTTTTATGATACCG